TCTTGGTAGACTTAAGGTAACTACCATATGTCATTTCTCAAACACCTTTTATTTACGTCTTTCAATTCATATGTGAAAAATACTTGTTCGTGATTCAGTGAAAAGCGATGTGTTATTGGTTGGAATAATGTACTGTTATTAATAATACTCATCTTTATATAATTATATTCCAACACATTCTCGTATGCCACGTCATCTTTTGTGACGCCGTAGTACTGAGTCATAATAAGCATGGATACTACTATAAAAGTTAAATTCCCCACAAAAAATAATCATAATTATTGCTAGTCATTATCGAGAAACCAGTATCGTCTACTGTTACAGTAATCTTTCTTTTCTTGTTTTCCAGAAATATTCATGCAATTAAATATTTGTTTATATGTAGTATAAACTTTTGTTACTTGTTTAACTTATGTTTTATGTTGTGCAGATTCGTGGATGGAAACAATGGGAGCAGGAGACTTTGTCACACGACTATGAGTTTACAAATGGTATGCATAAATTATATTCCCTCCACTGTTATGTTTTCGAATTCGACGTAAAGTAACAGATTCTTCAACCCGACAGATCCTTCAAGATTCAGGCTTACTCACGAGACATCTTTTGTGAGGGCCCACACTAGTTTCTGGACACGCATTCCGTTGTTCTTTTACATTGTAAGATTACCCTTTTTCTCATTTTTCTTTATTTCCTCGTGTTTAATGAGATAGTTATCAAAATTCTTATTCACATATGTCATTTCATTCATGCAGGGATGCTTTTTTCGACAATTTTTTAGGTCCGTCAGCAGATCTGATTATTTGACCCTGCGCAATGGTTTCATTGCTGTGAGTTTTCTTCTCAATGTCCTTTCAATTTTCCCTACCTTATTTATTTATTTAATTTTTTCTAAAAAATAAATTATAATTGTTTTGTAGGTTCATTTGGCCCCGGGAAGCAAGTTTAACTTCCAACAATACATCAAAAGATCACTAGAAGACGACTATAAGACTGTTGTGGGAATAAGGTAAATTACTAGAAGATGCCCTTTAATCAAGAAAACTTGCCATCTCGTCAGAATTTATGTAGCTGATTTTCTTTCCGACTTTGTTTGTTTGTATGCGCAGCCCACTTCTTTGGGCATCATTTGTGGTGTTCTTGCTCATAAATGTTGACGGTAAGTCGGTGTCGTTTATTAAAAAGAAAATGTTTCTGCCAAATATCAACCCCTCAAATGTGTTGACATATTCTTTTATTCTTTTATATATATATAAATATCAGGGTGGAAAGCGCTGTTTTGGGCATCCCTTATTCCTTTAATTGTAAGATCTTAATCACTCGTATAATTATATATGATTTGAAATGCATAGAAAAGAAAAGCCGTAGCTGAAGATGGCATATGTATATATCAGATAATATTAGCTGTCGG